GATTATTCTATGTTTATTTACAAACGCAAGTTACATTTAACAATTTTGCTTGTTTATGTAGATGATATAGTTATCACAGGTGACGACGTGCTCCTCATCCCTATAATAAAGTGGTATTTAGCACACCATTTCCACCTTAAAGACCTCGGCCCATTAAAATATTTTTTAGGAATTGAAGTTCCACGCTCATCATTGGGCATATTTCTCAACCAACGGAAATACGCTTTGGAGATCCTCAATGATGTTGGGCTTCTTGCTTGCAAGCCGACCATCACACCTATGGATGCTAGTACTCGCCTACAGGCCGACACGGGCCCATTGCTTGATGACCCATCTCGCTATCGGCGTTTGGTTGGTCGACTACTCTACCTCACCGTTACAAGACCGGATATTACTTACTCAGTTAACCAGCTCTCCCAGTTTATGTCATGCCCTCGTCAAACTCATTGGGATGCTGCCTTACGTGTTGTTCACTACCTTAAAACAGCCCCTGATCGTGGTATCCTACTGGCTAAGGACACCTCCTTACACCTCAATGTTTATTGTGATGCTGATTGGGCATCTTGCCCCACTACTCGACGCTCTACCTCCGGCTATTGCACATTCTTGGGGACTAGTCCAATATCATGGCGGACTAAGAAACAAACAACTGTCTCTCGTTCCTCTGCTGAAGCTGAATACCGATCTATGGCAGCCGCAGTGAGTGAAATCACCTGGATCCAGCTACTTCTCTCTGAACTAGGTATACCGTGTCACCCAGCTCACCTTCATTGTGACAACCAAGCTGCCCTACACATTGCAAATAATCCGGTTTTTCATGAACGCACAAAACATGTCGAAATCGATTGCCACTTTATTCGTGATAAAATTCAAGAAGGAAAAATACGCACCACATTCGTTCCGTCCCACCAGCAACTTGCGGATATTTTCACCAAAATTCTTCCTCCTCAATCATTCACTACGCTTACATCCAAGCTCATGTACCAACCATAAGCTTGAGGGGGAGTGAAGAATTCAAAATTGAAGTATACGTTATTCATTTATTGTATTTGTCCTTATGTCCTTTACATAAACTAGATTCATTGTATAGGAATTATTTATTTGCTCATCTTATTTTTATGACCGTTGCATGGTACTATAAAACCCATGCATGGCTCACGTATGAAACGTAGAGAGATTGCATTATTATCTCATTCTTTATGTTCTCTTTCCTTCCTTTATTTTCTATTCTACTTCTTTATATTTTTCACAATTAATAGTTTGTGTGGCTTCTGATATGTCACAACTGTATACATTAAGGACTTATATCACAAACAATTCCTTTCCAAGTGTTCCACAGAATTGTGTGTGTATGTTGTTCACAGGATTACGTAAGCTTAAAATCTAAGCAGTGTATGTGTCCAACATTGTGTATATATGGAGTACTACGTACTCCGTAATTGATAACTAAATTAAAAATGCACAAATTGCACAGTAAGTACTAAGTATACGGAGTATAACATAACTGTCTTATTTCCATTCTTTTTTTATGCATCGTAAAGGAAAAGTTGTTTTCATTCCAAAAACTGCAGCCAAGTGTTTGTAAATGAGAAAGATCTCAACTTATTCCACAACTAAATAAAATGAGATTAAGATTTTTCTTATAAATTCAACTAAAAACATTTTGTCCCCGACACCATCTTATATAAATATATAATATTATATTCAAAATTATTTTTCCCTTCGTATTTTTTGTTCCATACATTAGGATATGACACAACATTTAAGGGTGGATAGTAGGGGTAATAAATAGTATAGAAAAAGTAGGAGAGAATGTGAAAAAGTAGGAAAGAGATTATAAGAGTAGAAAAAGAGTAATTGAATATTTTAAAAGGAAAAACTTACCAAAAAGAAAAGTGTATGAAACTTTTAAATACATCCCAAAAAGGATAATGTATGGAACTTTAAAATAGAGAGGGAGTAACTCTAATCGACAAGCTGCCATCAAAATATGGATGAAAGTTAAATCACAATTCATTTTTCTATTTTCGCAATTGGAATTCAAACATTTGTTAAATTAGAATTTAAGTTAGATTATACATTTATACTATGGGCGTGTTTGACATTTAGCAGTTAGCTGATAGCCTGATAGTGAATTATATTAGTGAATTATCAATAGTAGATCTAATCAACGGGTTTGACTAGTAGAATAGGTAAGCGAATTGCTAGAAAGAATAAGCTCTTATCATTTTCATATTTTAAATAATTTTGTATTAAAAGATATCATTGATAAAAATTGACCACCATTAATCAAGAAAAATCAATTTGTCTAATTTTTTGGGAGTTAGAGGTAGTTGATGGGGTAGTTCAAAGTAAAATGTCACTTTACTTACTCTAATTATTCACAAATAAGGTGACTATTTGGGATCAAATTTTCAACATCACATGCATTCGAAGGATTCTTCAGCAAAATCATGTTATTGTTAACCATATCCATGATAAGGTTAACTTTAATTTGCGGCCAAAGAAATAAGTCCTGGTGTCCATGTCAAATTCTCTCGCTTTCTTAACATTCTCAAATTGGGTGTAGTTGCATTTTCACATGTTATTTAACTCTCTTGGGTAGGTTTAGGCCTAGTTTCCCTACCTTGTATCATTACTCTTATCATAAAAAAGTAAGATGTTCCCTAAAAAAAGTCACAAATAAGCTGTCAACAAATTTTTTATCCCCCATGAGGGGCGTATCTGTAGGAGTTCTATTTTGTTCACCCCCTTCATGGAGGGTGAACATCACCCCCTCCCTCCAACACTTGACACTTGGCATTACAATTGCAAAATTTAAAAGTCTTGCCAAGTGTCATGTGTTGGAGGGAGGGGGTGATGTTCACCCTCCATGAAGGGGGTGAACAAAATAGAACTCTATCTGTAGGGGGGCCGATGCCCCTGCTTCTTCCGTACAATATAGCATATAGGAAAGATTGGGGGCTGCCGGACTGTTGCTCTCCGTTTTTCCGTCATTTTTCCAGGATTGCAACTGCAGTTCGAACTTCAAAGGATAGGGGGACGATCGTATAAGGGTTGATTTGCAACTACTTTAGAAAAAGCACTTCTCAGCTTTTGACTTTAAAAAAACACTTATTTTCCCAAACACTACAACTTTTATTTTTCTCGACTTCCGCGTCAAAAGTGCTTTTACTTTATCTATTACACAAAAAGCACTTATTTTACCAAACACTACCCACTTTTACTTTTCAAAATTACTTTTTTCTCAAACACTATCAACTTTTATTTAATCACTTCTCCCCATTTCATTAAAAAAAGCATTTTTAAAGAGAATTTACCCAAAATAGGACTAAAAAGGTTTGAAAATTCTAAAATAGAACTGCCATGTTTTTATTCCCAAAATGGGACTAACTACTGTCATGTTTTGGCAATACCAGACTTCAAACATGGCAGTATTTTTCAAACTTGACAGTAATTACTCCTATTTTGGGAATAAAAAACATGACAATCCTATTTTGGAATTTTCAAACTGTTTTAGTCCTATTTCGGGAACTTTCCCTTTTTTAAAAGTAGAAGTTGTTGCAAACAGACCCTAAGAAGCTGTTCTCTTCGCCTGATCTGAATGTTTCTGATTTGAATTTTTTAAGTTCTGATCTGATCTGATCTGATCTGAATCTTTCTCATCTGATCTGATCTGATCTGAATCTTTCTGATCTGATCTGAATCTTTCTGATCTGATCTGAATGTTTTTGATCTGGTCTGATCTGATCTGAATGTTTCTGATCTGATCTGAATCCTTCTGATCTGATCTGAATCTTTCTGATCTGATCTGATTTGAATATTTCTATAATTATAATTCTAATTATAATTATAATTGATACAATTGTAATTACAAATATAATTTAAATAAAATTATAATAATAATAATAATAATAATAATAATAATTAAAATTAAATTTTAAATGAAAAAAGTTATACCTATTACACTAATTATAAATATAGATATAATTATATTTGTAATTACATTTTTAATTATAAATACTTATGTAATTATAATTGTAATTATAATTACAATATTAATCCCTATAATTGTAACTATAGTTATCAGTATTATTATAATTACTCCATAAAATAATTACAATAGTAATAATAATATTATTATTATTAATTATAATAAAAATAATAATTATAATCATAAATTATAATTATAATATAATTATAAGTATAATTATAAATGTTATAATTATAATTAATAATAATTACAATTATATTAACAGTAATTATAATATTATAATATAATAATAGTAATATAAATACAATTAATATTATTATAATGATATTATTATATTAATATTATTATTACAATAATATAATAATATGATTATTATTATTATAATAAGTATTATATTATTATAATATTATATTATAATTATATTTATAATCATAATTGTAATTATGATTATAATTATAATTATTAATATAATTATAATTAATTATAATTATAATTAATTATACTTATAATTATAATAATTATAATTGATTATATTTATAATTATAAGAGTTATAATTATAATTATAATTATAATTTCATATAATTATAATATAATATTATAATAATATTAATCATATTATTATTATAATATTTTCACAATAATAAAATCAATAATAATAATAATAATATAATAATAATAATAATAATAATAATAATAATAACAATAATAATAATAATAATAATAATAACAACAACAACAACAACAACAACAACAACAACAACAACAACAATAATAATAATAATAATAATAATAAAAGTTAAAACTTTTTTGATCTGATCTGATCTTAATGTTTCTGATCTGATCTGAATCTTTCTGATCTGATCTGATCTGAATAAAATAAGAATAAACAATAAGTAATAAGAATAAGACGAACAGAACAGCACCTAAGTGTGGTTGGCTGGGGGTTTTCTTTTAATCGCACGACGTCGCTTCTCTACTAGGGAAAAAAAAGCTTGGGCTGTTAGGGCCAGGAAAGGCCCAATTGCCAAGCAAACAGACCAAGCCTACAGCCCCAAGTGTCCACTGCCCAATATCCAGCAGCCTTGACTCTATCTTCCAGATTGGAAACGTCGTCACACCCTATCCGGACCGCGAGCAGGGAAGCAGCAGAGGCACGTCGCCACGCCGGACTGCCATCGGCCAGGGCTCCCGGAGAGAGCTCGTCCCGCCGTCCTCCGTCTGTCGTCCGCCTTTCCGGTAGCTTAAATTAAATACTACGTATAAGGCATTTCATTATTTAATTTTTACAAATCATAAATGATTTGAAAAATTTGTTGTGTAAAATATTTTGAAATAAATCTAATGATTATGTTTTATTGGTATAAAATCATGAATTTATAATAGTTTGAATTGATTATTTTTATTTTCAGATTGGTGCTGCTTTTTTTTAGGGATTGGTGTGGTTTGCTAAGACTCGTCATTCTAAACCTAATGGCGAGGAAGAAAATCAAGACCCGCGGCAACGATAAGAACGTAGCTGAAGCATCTCATCAGATATTGCATGATGATATCATCTCTCACATCCTGAAAAGGCTTCCCGCCAGAGTGCTAATGCAATTCAAATGCGTCTGTAAAGATTGGACGCGTTTAATACGAGATCCGGATTTCACAGAATCACATCTGTCGCATTCCCGGGCTCAGCCTACAGTCTCTTATGTTCTTTGTATGACCAATACTGGGGCGTTTGCAGCAGATCAAAGTCTCGTTCTAAAAAATTCCTGGGTTCCCGCAAATCCAGACCTGTTTCGCACTCATATGCCTTGCTCCAACTCCGTCAATGGACTCATCTGTTTCGGCAGCAGAGGACGGCGTCCTGGAAGCCGCAACAGCCACAACATAGTTTACAATCTGTCCACAGGGGAAAAAAGAGATCTGCCGCAGCCGCCGATTCCTGGAATTTTCAGTACATATGCACTTGGCTTCGATCCTGCCAAAAAAAAGTACAAAGTGCTTCACTTCGGCCCAATTGGCGGCGGCCGAATTTACGGCCAAATTCGAGGTTGCCAAATTTTCACCTTAGAAAGAAACTCATCGTGGAGATCTCTGAGTCATGTACCAAACTCACCATATCCGCTCATTAGATTGAATTCGATTTATCTTGACGGAAAAATATACTACTATGACCAAATCCATATCCGTTTCTTCGATTTGACAAGTGAGAAATTTGGGACCATTGAACCCCCCCCATATTTCTCTCCATTTTACAATACTCCCCCCCGATTAATAGAGGCCGGATCAAATTTGGGGGTTGTGTCTTGGCGCAATGCAGTCCCGCATCCGGAGTGCTCATTTTGGGTCTTGGAACAAAATTGGTCTTTGAGGTGCACATTTTCGATGAAGTTTGAGAAGATTTGGGGATCAGTTGGTAGAAGTGTGCTCCTACTAGGAAGAGAAGATCTGTTTTTGTTCGATGCCAATGCTCGCACTCGTAAGAAGCTTAAGAAGGCGAGGGATGAATATACACACGTCTTATGCAATCATGTGGAAAATATTTATCCTCTCTCAACTACCCAATAGAGATGTTTTCGATGCAGACTCCAGAGGTAGTAACATCCTCTACCATCTATAGGTGCAGATGCTTTTATTTATATTAAGAATTTACAATATGTAGTTTTAGAAATCTATTGAATAACCTTTTTAAAGTAAAAGATCATCGCACTAACAAGTTCAAGCTGAAATAAAAGTTAAATGCATTTTGACCACATGTGCTACGTTACCGTTTACTAGGCTTGTTTGTACTTAAGTTATTGAAATTCTTACATATTGTGACCAAAATAAAAATTGATTAAGAGACTTATATGTAGTGACTTTAGTTAAAGTAACTTATATGTAGTGACTCAAGGATACATAGAAATATATAATTATGCTTTGATAATTCTAACATCTTCTTCTGAACTCTAATCTCTTTTAGTAGTTGATGATCCAGAAGTATTAGAATTATCATGGACACTTGGGGATTCATTTCCCTTCCTATGTGTGTAGTACAAGTTTCAGTGGTTTCACTTGAAACAATAGGAGGGTTAAAAAAATTGGAATGAGATGTGAGATCCTTAATGCAGGTTAGTATAATTCTGGAGGATAAGAGTCATTCGATCAATGCATTAAGCTGATACGGAGGCTGAAACTTATGGCTTATGCCTTATGGGACTAAATTGATTTGGAATATTGTTTGAGAACCGATTATACCCTGGATCTATGTCAAAATTGTACTATACAACACATCATCAATTAAATAAAGAACCAGAGATTGTTTTTGTCCTATAAAATAGTTGAGAAATGTTTTATTTCCTAACAATTAATTTCAGTTTCTCTCGGAACATAATGGTGAATGTATTAGACACATGAACTCCCAACCTAGTAACATTCAGAAATTTATAGCACTGATTTTAAATAGCAGACATTTTTTATCAACCAAGAATGATTGTTTTCTGTATCTGTGTAATATGAGCAGCCTTAACATTTAAATTCTCAAAATTTAAAGTGGAAAATAATTTAAATATCTCAAACTTTATATAAAAAGTTATTTCCGCACCATTATTGTATGTTTTTTACAAATACAAATTTATTGGAATAATTACATAATTTATAATACTATATTCATTATTAATAAGTAAATAATATTTTTGAAATAAATAATATTACATCTGGGACAATTTAAGTTTCATAGCATCCTCATAAATATATGGTTTGTGTATTTTAATCATGTATTTAATACCAGAAAGTTATATTTGTGAATAAATATATGATCATGGTGCTAATATAACTTTTTATATAAAATTTGGGGTATACATATTACATGTGCAAGTTTGGAGTACTTATCTCACACCCCTTCAAAGTTTGTGATATTTAAATTATTTTCCCAAATTTTGAATTTAAATTGTAGTTACATTACTCAATGCTTACAAAGCTTTGTCACTGCAAATATGATTGGCAAATTTCAATATTTGAAAGTATTGCATGCCAGTAAGATTTGAAACAACTCATTTTGTTTGACTAAGGTAAAACCAACATAGTACCTACTTGGGAATGATCTTTACCACAAATCATTAAAAGTTGCAGCTAAGGATCCAGATTCCAGAATTGCACACCGAGATCCACAAGCATGGTTCAATGCAACACGCTATGGGGGCAGGCCAGGGCCTTCTGCTTCTACAACTACTAAGAGTTCAAAGAACAAGAGCAGTGATCTGAAGTATGATATATTTGGATGGGTTATACTTGCTGTTGGTATTGTTACATGGGTTGGATTTGCAAAATTACAGGTTCCTCCTCCTCCCAGATAAGATCTCCATATGCACCTCCTCCCATGATATTTGCTGGAGAGTGATAAAAGAAAGTACTCCTGTTTTGGTTGGTTATGTATTGACCTCGTCGAAGCTAGACTTTTATGAGACTGCTCCCATTGGATTTTTAGCTTTGGATGTGCTTTATGGCTTTTTATGACTTCAAAAAAATATGTATTCTGGAACTTCTATATTTCACCCGTTTGGGATAAAACATTACGAGTAATTAATGATACTATGCATTAAACATTTAAACCTTCATTTCCTCGCAAGTCGCAACCTTATTTATGCGTGATCTTTCATTTCCAAGTGGTCTTCTTTTTCCCGTTCACTGATTTGGGCAGACAACATGGTTGAGGAATTGCCGTTGGGAAACTCTAGACTCCCTGATGATCCATCTATAAATACTTTGAACTTGGTATTGAGCACATCTTGGATTTAATGGAATCCGAACTCTGCTACTTAATTATATATGTTTGTTTTTTATTTAACTTGAGTTGCTCCTAAACTAGCGCTGTTACTCTGCCTTGTTCATGTTGGTTCTTCATTTCTAAATTAATTGTTGAAGTTCAACTCACATAACATTTTTTCGGTCATGGATTTAAGATTTAAATTACTCCCTCTGTCCCATTTTATAAGATATTTTTACTATTCACTTAGTCAACACAAATCACTCTTAATCTTTTACTTTATATATCAAAATTTTATGAATTTTGAATTACTTTTTGCAAGTTTTGTAGCGGTTTCAATGTAATTTTTGAATATGTAATTCTTTTTTTCTAAAATTAATTTGAGTGCACACAGGAATCCGTTTGCTTTATCGCCGGTCAAACATCATAAACCGAAAAGTATCTTATAATTCAAGATGGAGGGAGTAGTTTATTTCATTTTATCCCCTTCTTTTGGTTTGATTGCTATGTGTTTGGTGACATGTTCATTTGAACGTTTTCTGAACTAATTGTCAAAGTCACGAGGGAGTATTACTCAAAGCTGAACTAATTGTCAAAGTCGTGAAGTAATTGTCAAAAACATTACTCAAAAGTCATAATAAGTTGCTGAGTGTATTACTGTACTTCTTAGTGATACTTAGTTTTCAAATACAAGTGTGTTCTTGTTGTGTTCAGCTTTGTCTTTCTTTTAAGTGACTCTTCTCAATCATTGGCGATTTGGCGGTAGCATCTCATCTATGGCCCATATATAACATGAAACACATGAATGGTAGCCGAGTTAATGGTAATTTCATACTGTCTTAATGAAATACTACGTACAAGACATTTTGCCATTTTTTAAAATGGAAATGTATGCTTTGTGTCTGGCCAGATAGTGAGTTTCCTGTATTGATTTTATTTTGTTATTTAATTTAATTGCATCCGTTATTTACTTTACAATGATCAATCCCATTTAATAGAAAATTTGATGTGTCATACCTGTTCAAGTTAAAAAGAACTATCACTACTGTTTGCCTTTTGCCATAATTTCGACCCGGGTGCCTTATGTAGTTTAAAATCGAAGAGTTGATCCTTAAAACCTTACACCTTTGTTATCTAATATTATGTTTTCGTCAAAAGATCATCCCTTAAATCAACATGTTACTATACAATAAGTCAGATTCTATATGCACTCAAGTCACATTCATATGTTAAGAATCCCTTCACTTTAATACTTAATAGATAATTTTTAAAGCCTTTTCATGTGTAAAAAATAAGTATATGAATCTTGTCTCAAAATTGGATCTAGATGGGGAAAGAAATTTACCATTTGCAACCCCCCGCCCGCCCCCCACATCTGTGAGTGTGCCATTTAGTTTGATCTCTTTGAAATATTTCCTGTTGGGAGTGTTGGAAGGAGGGGCGGATGCATGTATAATTTAATGGATTAATGGGTTTAGATATGTACAGGAATATTCCTGTCCGGAATTTCCGAACAGGAGGGCCGTCCGGCCTCCTCCATTTGGGGGTCTTCCCGGTGTTATTTTTTGCTCAAATTTTTTGTGTAGGTTCCTCATCAAGTCTAGTTCATCCATACCAAAGTTTAGCCAAAAATTCAATCGGGAAGGTCGTCAAATGATTTTTGCAAGTTAACTGGTCCGGAATATGTATTTTCCGGACCAGTTAACTTGCAAAAATCATTTGATGACCTTCCCGATTGAATGTTTTGCTCAAAATTGGTATGGATGAACTACACTTAATGAGGAACATACACAAAAAAATTGAGCAAACAATAACACCGGAAAGGCCCCCAAATGGAGGAGGCCGGACGGGGCTCCGGTCAGGAATTTCCTAACCGGAATAGCACTCTTAGATATGTAAACATATATACGGTAAATAAAGGATGACACCCCATCCCTGAGGGCCCCCCAACACCGACCGGACGACACGATGGGAGGATGTAAATTTGACTATAATCACAATCTGACAGATAGAGAGTGGGGCTCTGTCCCCGGTACTTGCAGAAGCCCTATGCATTTTTCAGCATAGTAACCCCTCATCGCAGTTGCCGGGATTCGAACCCGAGACCTAACCCTTGTGGCACTCCCTTCCTACCAGTTGAGCTACGCCCACCGGTAAATAGTGGAGGACCCAACCAAGTTGGACAGCCCACTTTTTGTTTCTTTTATAATTTAAACATATACTCCGTACTTTTGTACTCTAAACTAACTCTTTTTTTTTGTCAATTTTATAAACTACTCCGTAACTCTTAATCCAATTGTCATTTACCTATGAACCGGGAGTTTTACAATAATATCCGTATAATTGGAGTAATCTTAGGATCTACTTCGTATTTGATAATTGTCATTTATCAAAGCCTACAGAACATGGTGTGAATTTGAGTTTTTCTATTTAGGATCTATGTTGCTATTTTTTTTTTGTAGAATATACACTTTTTATTTAGTTTTAAATGTTTGTTAGATTAGAATTTAATCTTTTATAATCATAAATTCTAGTTCCTTAAATCGTGTCAATCATGATTATTTTGTGGTTGCATTAATAATTTAAATGTATTGTTGATTTAACTTCAAAATATTTAATTTCTCTTAGTCAATGACTAGTTTAATTTAAAAAAAAAGTTTTCACTGTAGTATTCAAAATATATAAAAATAATATTTAAAACTAAATTTATTGAAGGTTAAAGGGTCAAATAGTCCCTCGAACTAACTTAAAAAGTGCATTTCACCCCTTATATAGGAGGCTCTGTCCGGCTGTCATCATTTGGGGCGGTTCCTGATGAAATTTTTTGATGAATTTTTTTGATCATCTTCTTCATTAAGTCTAGTTTACTCATGCTAAATTTCAGCTAAAGATTCAATCAGGAAGGCAGTCAAATGAATTTTTGAAGTTAACTGCGCAGTTAAACAGCGCAGTACATTTCAAAAAATCATTTGACTGTATTCTCGACTGAATTTTTATCTGAATTTTGGTAAGGGTAAACTAGACTTAATGAAGAAGATGTTCAAAAAAATTCATCAAAAAATTCCACCAGGAACCACTTCAAATGACGACGGCCGGACAGAACCTCCTATATAAGGAGCGTATTGCACTTTTTAAGTTAGTTCGAGAGCCTATTTGACCATTTAGCCTTTATTGAAAGATACTTTTTTGTGAGGAACACTGTAGTCAAATTTGTGCATTGGTATTGGTTACTAGTTTTGAATCATCGATTGTTTTATTTCTTTATGTAAAAAAACATGTGGTTAATACGGTTACAAGCGATGGGGCGTTTTAAAAAATTGAAAACTCAGAGTCTCAGAGCAATGGTAATAGAATATACTCGTAGTATTTTGTATTCTGCTAATATTGGGTTATTTATTTTTTAGTTAGTTTACATTTAATTGTTCAATTTTTTTCCTTCACTTTTTCTTAATTAGTGCCCCAAAGGTTGAAGTTTCTAGATCAGCCCCTGGTTGGAAGAGTAAATAAATGACGACTATTTTATTACTTCTAAACCTTTTCCTTTTTGGTTTTGCGTTCTGCATGGAGCTTTATTTTTCATATGCAGTGTCTTATAATGTTTGATTATGCGGTGCTCAACTTTAGATGAACTTTACAAATCATCTTGGGAGCAACTAGATGAAGCTATCCTCTAAGTATTATTTAAGGTGAATGTTTCTACTACATGCCATGTGTAGATATTAGGCATGGACTCGGGCCGGGTGGCTCGACCCGGAATCGGCCTGGCCCGGCACTGTTTGGAACCGGCCCGAACCGGTGGCCAAAGACCGGTCCGGGTAGGCCCGGCCTGGGGGTTAAACGGTGCGAGCTCGGGTCACCCAAAAGACGAACTGGCCGGGCCGGGCCCGGTTCAGGCCTTTTTTTATTTATTTTTTGTTTTTTTCAATTTTGTTTGTTTATTCCGGGCTGGGCTGGGTGTTTTGGGGGGTGGGGGTGAGGGGGGGTCGGGGGTTAAGTAGAAAAGCAAAAAAAAAAAATTAAGAAGCCCGAGGCCTGGCCCGGACCCGGTGGCAACCCGGGCCGGTTCCGGGCCTTCCTTCAACCCTCAAAAGCTGGACCAGGCCTAGGCCCGGCCCGGCTTGCGTCCATGACCAGTAGATATACTCCGTCCCGTTAGAAGGTTCCCACTTTCCTTTTTTGGACGTCCCGTTAGAAGGTTCCCATTTCCATTTTAGGAAACAATTAACAATCTTAAGTGACAAATTCGTCACTAAATATTAAAAATAATACATTTATAACATCACAGTTATCAATACTAACACATTATAATATATACCCATTAAAATTATTTCTCAAAATATACTCGAAATACTTTATTTAATTATCACCTAAATAATCGTGTCGTTTTGCTATGGGAACCTTCCAACGGGACGGAAGTAGTACCATATTGTTAATGGAATGAGAGATTCAACACCAATACCTTGATTCCTCTTCATTACTATTAATTGTAATATTTATATTAATAGTGTAATTATAAGGACTCTTATGTAATTACTCAAGTTCATTCCTTATTATAAATACAACACTAGGGCTACCTCTTGGGTAAGCCATTCCATCATTATTACTTTCTCACATGGTATCAGCAGCCTAGGCTTTCCAACCCTAGAAAAATATGTCGACTACTCCTTCTAAGGCGCACGACCCTCCCTCATCGTTGCCGCCGGTCAGCCAGCCGATTCTTCACACCTCGGCGTCGTCTTCAACCACGGCTTCTTCGTCCACCATGACTGCCGCGGTACTGGCTTCAACAGCGCCCGTCCACACGGAGCCGCTCTACTCCTCCGGTGTTTACATGTCACCACAATTATCTTC